CTTTGGGTTTTTGGCGTTTCTTTGGTTTTTGTTTCCCTTCCCGTCGTGGGCGACCTGTTGGTTTCTGGCGCCCCTTTGGTTGTCGGCGCACTTTTTGTTTTCGCCGCCCCTTTTGGTTTTGCCGCACCTTCGGTTTTCAGCGCCCGTTGGTTTTCGGCGTTCTTTTGGTTTTCGGCGCGCCTCTGGTTTTCGCACCCTTTCGGTGTTCGGTGGCCCTTTGGTTTTCGGCGCTCTGTTGGTTTTCGGCGCCCTTTTGGTCTTCGGCGCTCCTTCCTTTAGCCAAAGTGGGGTGGGGGCTTCCAAGGCTCCCCCCATTTAGACAAAAACGGGGGGGAAGGGGGGGGCTTCCGGCAGATGAGGTTTAAACGGCGGGGGGGGGGGGGTTAGGTAAGCCCTTTATTCCCCCCTTGGGAAAGGAGGGGGGGCTAGCTTCCGATGTGTGAAAGGAGCGGGGGGTAGCTTTCGAGGGGCGGGAAACAAGGAGGGAGGGGAGTAGATGAGGGAGGACGACCCCCCCTCTTTGGGAGGGTACCACGGGCGCGCTCTTCAAAGGGACCCGTCCAGCTACCTTTGCCGCCGCGAGGTCCGCCCGCCTTGGCATCCGGGTTCGACTGCACCCCGGGAGAGGTCCGGGGAGTAGCAGAGTCTGTGCCGCTTGATTTTCGGGGGTGGACAGAACCCCTAACAGTGAAACGTCGATTAGTGAATTGTCCGTTTTCGGTTTTCGAGAGGGCGCGGTGGCCGTTATTTTCCAGGCTTGCGCCCGCCAGGTTTGGGCCTCAGGTCGTTTTCATTAAACCGCGTTTTACTAAAGGGGGGTCTGTCCATCCCCGAGGTTTCCCTCATCAGAATCACAGTGTTGGGTGTGTCTGGCGCCTGGTGGCTCAGAGACTTGCGCCGAGCATCGGCCGAATCGTCCAGACATCCGCGAAAGCCATCTATGCTGCTCCAGACGCGATCAGGGACCGTCAGGAAGCCCCCGTACAACTTGGGCGGGCTGCCCCGGATCGTTCTGTTGCCTTGCCGGTGGCAAGACGTAATTCGTTGCAGTGATGGTTTGGGCCGCCCAAGCCGCTGAGTGGAGGCGGGGATGAGCTGCTGACGCGTGAGGGGGTTTGAGGACGGGGAGGGGGGCTGACCCAGGTAACGGGCGTTATTGCGAACAGTTTCCTGTTCATAGTAAGTGATTGTCAGTTGTCCACATCTATATATACATGTGTATATGTATAAGTATACGTATATGTATTCGTATACATGGGTGCGCTGGCATGCATGTATGTATGCACATGTAACTGTAGGAGGCCTGGTTCCTCTGGAACCGAACCGTTGGGGCACTGATTGCCGGCTATATCGAGCACGTACACGAGCATCCCATGTCTACGGAAGCCAATGTGTGCATATTTAGAGATATTTATATATATACACATGTATGTACACATCTATCGGCAGAGAGGGAGAGCGATAAGCAAACAACAACCACTCCAGGCGCCCCCCTGCCCACGGCGGCCACGGCGAAGGCAGAGAAGATGAACCCCCAGGGCTTCGCGCGCCGGAAGGACGACGAGAAGGAGCGGCAGCAGGCGGCCGACCAGCTCGCTGCCCTGAGGGCCGGCAGGGCGCAGGCAGGCGCCCCCGCCTCGCAGCAGGAGATCGGCAGCGAAACGACCGGCGGCGAGGGCCGACAGCTCTTCGAAGAAAGAACGGCACACGTCGGGCGGGCGGGCTTTGTCTGCGTCCCCCATCTAGGTTTTTAAGTCGGGCCTTGCCCCTATAGAGGGGGATTTTCGATCAAAAATTTTAAAAAATGTTTCAAAAATAATCCCAAAATAGTCCGGGGACATTTTTTTCTGAATATGTTTTGGCCTTCTTGGTGTATTTTTGGGGTATGTTTATTTTTTCATCGAAAATCCCCCTGTAGGGGCACAGGCCCGACATAAATCCAGGTCAGCCCCCGGGGCAACCCGCCCGAATTACACATCAACTTTCGGCGTGCCGCGCGCACCTTTTTAGGATCGGGGCCCGGGACTCCCTTGCGGCGCTCCTGCGGCGCCGCCCCTGGCGCGCTTCGCGCGCCGGGGACAAGGCTTCGGCGCAAAGCCAAGAACTCCGCGCCGTTCGTGCAGTTCTGCTCCTGGCACCGAACGGATTGTGTGCATTTCTGTTCTGTCAGGACCGTTGTGGATCGGGCCGGACGAAAGGGGGGGAATGGGAAAGGGGGCGTTACGAAATTTGCTGCATGCAGTTGGTTTCGGCCCTCCGCCGAAAATACATTCCTCGATACATTCCTCGATACATGGGCGCCTCCATTCCATTCCTCGAAAATACATTCCTCGAAAAAAGTTCTGCATGCATCCATTCCTCGATACATGGGCGCCTCCGGCGCCGGGAGGCGCCGGGAAAATCAGCTACGTGAGCTGATTCTCACCCCCCCCCTTTGCTCTCCCCCCCTTTCGCCCGACCCGAGAGGAGCATCCTATAGATCATCGAGCAAAGCAGCAATCGCGCACGGCACCGGCACATGCACGGGGAGAGGGCACCCGAACGACGGCAATCAGAGTGTGAATTACCTACCCCGCTTTCGTTTCCAGGCAAAACCAAGTCATACCACGCGCCTCCTCGTCAAGCGGCCTGACCAGTACAGGCTGCAATTTGGCATCGTTTGGTATCTCTCGGAAGCGAGGGTGGTCAAAAGCGAGGCAGGTTTGTTTTCCCCCTACATATGGCAGCAGTGTCTGGCCCATGTTGGGCCAGGCTCGCTGCGGGTGTCGCCGCCGGCGCGTTGCCCGTCTGGGGGGCACGAGGTGTGGCGGGCCCCACGGCAGACGCTGTCGGCTCAGTGGACGGCGCTTACGCCGTTGGGCATCGTGCCCACTGATCCGTGCCCAGGTCTCGGCTACGAGCCCGGGCGGGACATTCAGAGCCCCGAATCATCTGGGGTAGCTCGGGTCAGGGCTAACTCGGGTGCGCTTTTCGGGATTCCGAACCCGAGTTACCCCGGGCCCGAGTTACCCCGGATAACTCGGGCGTCCAGAGCCCCGTATCATCAGGGGTAGCTCGGGTCAGGGCTAACTCGGGTTCGTTTTTCGGGAATCCAAGCCCAAGTTACCCCGGGCCCGAGTTACCCCGGATAACTCGGGCGCCCAAATGGGAAGGAGAGGGCCTTGTCAGAAGGCTCGGAGGCCCCTCGGCCTTCCGAGCAGTTCTCCGGAGCCTTCGCCCCGAAGGCGCAAAGCTCCGCTCAGAGGGCGCGAGGGCTTCTGAAAAGGTCTCCTTCTCCGTGCCCCCCCCCCTTTGCTCGCCGCCGGGTGTCGGGCATGCCCAGGAGAGCGTCTCTGACGGGCCGAAGACGCCCATCAAGAGCGCCTTCGACTTCGAGAACCGCCGCGCGAAGGAGGACGGCGGGCGGGGAGCTCGTGTCCTTACAGTGGAGGCCCGTGCCAAGAAACTCAGGAAGGGAAAAAACACACAGACACAATTAATCGTCGACTCCCAGAAAATATGCGAAAATATGGGAATTGGGGGGGAAGACAGAAACCCAGAAAATATAGGAAAGTATGGAAAATATGGGAAATATTTGTGCGTCCTGGGGCCCCTTCAGAAACACCCTGCTTGCCTCCAGGGTGCCCTGGGTTTCTTTGGTTTCGATGGTTTTGCGACGGAGATCGTGACAGGAATCAATGGACGTCCTGGGGTCTCAGGGTTGGGTTCCTTGTGGAAGGTGTTCTCGTGGTCGGGCCCCTGCTGCATCCGTACCCATGCCCTCCCCAGTCTGGACTCCTTCTTCACGGCTCCACGGACACGGGGCTGCTCTTGTGCGGGTGCCCCGCGCGGAGCCCCCCTCTAGAGGTTGGCGTGCCCATGGCATCGCGCGCCTGTGGGTGTCCGGACCTCGAGGGCATGGGTCTGGGTGGGTTCGCCGCCCGTGGGAGGACCACCGGAGTCAGGCCGCGGAGTCGTTGGAGGACCTGCGCCGCGCGCAGAAGGAGAAGTTCAAGGATAACCGAGTAGAAAAGAACCCCTAAACCTAGTAACACGAGGAAGACGCGGCCTCACTGAGGTCACCGTTTTCGCATTAGGGATCATCGATCTGGGCGGTTCGGTCTGACACACCTGCAGAACGGACCCCCTAGCCCTGATGTCGCTGGCCCTCCTAACTTAGATTCTCTCCCACGGGGTTGGGGGTTCTTTTTCGGTTGGTCGAAGGAGTTCCAGAGCGACCCCCACGCGAGGGAGGCCGACGTGTACAAGCAGCCCGCGTCGGTTGCGGGCGGCGGCAAGGCCGCCGACCAGGGCTGGGGCGGCTGGCTCGGAGGCGTCCGAGGGACCCGAAGGGTGAGCTGTGTGGGGGGGGGGGGGGTGGGCAGCCTTGGACGGGGACAGGGTCAGGGCGGGATGCATCGACCCCATCCTGCCCACTGGTCGCCAATAGGGGCCTCATGGCCCACCCCGCCCAGGGGTGTGCGCATTGGCCATCGGGGGCCCATCACCAGTCTATCGGTGACGCATCACAGATCGCAGCTCGATGGTTCCCCCCCTTTCGCGGGTTCCCTCTTGACGTTCTCTCACAGGGGGGCGCAATAGTCTTCGCATTCAACCTCGATGCGGTGTCCGACAGCAGCCCCAGAGGTTCGATGTACTCATGTTTTTTGCAGTACGGGATCCCCAGAATGATGGGCACATGTTCCACCACTACTACAATATGTAGCACGGGAGAGAAGGGAGGATGAGGAGGTCCTCTTCCAGCACCGGCCAGTGTGGAGCGAGCTGGTGATCAATTATTCGCCCATCGCTCGAGGTTGCACTACCCACGCGGTGTCAGAAACCCACGCCGAGGTCGTCACGACACGACCCTCCTGTGCTGCCCACCCCGAGGCATGTTCGGCGGCTCGTCGTCGGGAAGCAGCGGCAGCGGCGGCGGAGGCGGCCGGCCCGGCAACGACCGCCCGGGGCCGCGGATAAAGGGGATCGGCGACCTGCCGAAGCCCGTCCAGCGAGGCTGAGGACCTCGGGGCCTCCCAAGTTGGGCCAGAGTGGACGGGGCAGGAGGATGGCGTCGCAATTCGGGCGGGTGGTTATTGTAGTGGGGGGTGCCTGGAATGCGGGGTGAAGAAAAGGATCCTACCCTGCTGGCTCCACGAGGGCACCTTTCGAGCCATTTCACTCACCCCCCATTCAGACCACCCCCCACTACCACCCGCTCGAGGATCGCGCCGCAACGCCGATGCATCGGCGATGCGGCTCGAGGTGCCGCCCGATGTTCGCCACGCCTGCGCCGCCAACACATTGGCGATGCGTCGCGGCCCGCCGAGCCCATCTGCTCGGGCGCCATTGGGGACGGTTGCAGCGAGGCCGAGGACCTCGAAGAAAGCCTGAGCTTTCGGAGCTCCGCGCGGATGTCCTGGATCTGCCCTGGCGGCGCCTGCGGCGCCGCCCCTGGCGCGCTCCGCGCTCCTCGCGCCAAGGCAGGGCGCGGAGCTGGAGACTCCGCGCGGACTTGCAGACTGTGCTTCCGTGTCTCTGGCTTTCCTTCAGGACCGCGGGGGTGCTAGGCCGCCGGGGGGCAAGGCGCGCCGCCGTCGGCGCGCCTCCCTGGGCGACAGCACCCGCAGTCATCGGGGTCGGCCAGAGCCGCGGCGCGGCGGCGGGGAGACGTGTCCTGGCGAGTCTGGGGAAGGCTGGCGAGTCTGCTCACCGACAGAGCCCCAGGTGCTCTCAGCTGGCCTCAACCGTCCCTCCGAGTAGCCCAGGGCTGGCTGTCACAGCACCCTGGCACCGCCGCCGCCGGCGCCCCTGCGGGGGACCGCCGGGGACTGCTCGGGGGAACTGTAGAGGCCAGCTGCTATACTGCTTGTGGAGACCGTGGAGGCCAGCCGGGACCTGCCTGGGGAGGCCGACTGCGCCTGACCCGCGGCCCTGCCGGGCGGGGAGATGTCTCCGCAGGCCGCCGCCCCCACCCCCCGCCCCCCCCTCTGGGGGCTTTGCGGGAGGGGCGAGCAGGAGTCGGGGTCGGAGGCCTAGAGGTTGACACCAACCAATATCGGCGGGGTGCCTTCACTGAGGGGAGATTCTCCCGATCTGGGTGATGGTGGTAATATTCGGGCTTTCTAAGCGACCGAACTTGTACCACTAACACCGAAGGCTAGCATCATCTTGCCCCTGTGGTGGCAACCTCCTGTGTTGCTGTTGGCTCATTCCAGGCCTCCAATAGGGGTCGAGGGCTCCCTCTCGCCGTCGCGTGGGTCTGGCCGCCTCAGGGTCCATCCCTGACACAGTGACCGCCAGTCGGCCGCGCCAATGAGCCCATGCCGGCACGCAGAAGGTCCCGCCGCAGTGAGGGCACGTGCCCGTCCCCCCCCGGCCATACGTCGCGGGGGGGCGGCGCTTGCGTGAGTCGCGGGGCCAGCACTGGCCGGCAGTTGAGTGGGCTTGTTTGAATATCCCAAGCATTTGCTAGACAGAGTGTGAGATGAGCTAGGAGCCCCCGTGTGAAAGGAGGCGTCGTCCTTCCCCGTGCCAGACGCATGTCGAGGGTCGAGCCTCTCCGCGACAAAAGGGCGTGTCCGTCTTCTCCAGCTTCATGTTGCCGTCATCGCCATTCAGTCTCTGTCTATATGTGTCTGTACCCCAGATCCTTTGCTTCGCCATTGTTGCCATCCGAACACTCGATTATGTTGCTTCGGTCCTACGCACAGCAGAGAGCAACGTATACAGAAGGCCCGTGCCCTGACAGCCTCTCGATAGGTAACCAGCGTGGGACCAGTGCCCCCGCTCTGAATCAGAGCAGCGCGCGGCGGCGGAATGGCATCGCGGGAGGAGGAAGCCGAATCTCATAAGGACAAGGAGAGAACAGCGCACGAGGGCGTCTGGGGCAACGGAAAGGGGGGGGTATTGGCTCATGGGAGAGTGGACCTTGACCTTCTAGGAGGGCTTCAATAATAGCATCAGGACCTAGATTGCCCAATTCCAGTCCACGTTTTAAGCAGCCCAGGCAGGTCTATAGGTCTGCAGTGTTATATTTGAAGCTCTCCGGAAGGTCAGGGGATCTATCCCGAGTCGCCCACTCATCGCCGACAGCGCCAGAGACCCCGCCCCGCCCATGGACGTGCACAGTCGCGATCAGGGGCCTGTCGCCGATCTCTCGGCGATGCACCTCCGATTCAATCTCGATTCTTCCTCTCCCGAACTCTCTCCCCTCCTGCCTCGAAGAGGAATCAATTGCATACTTAGCGTTTCTCGGAGCTCCTCGCGGATTGCTCGTATCTCTGCTTGAAAACCCCCCCGACGGCGCCCCCGCCGCCGCCCCCTGGCGCGCGCCTTGCAGCAGGGAGAGCTTGCAGCGCAGATCCAAGGAATCCGCGCGGAGCTCCAGAAGTTTATGTTTATGTTTTTTGTGTTTCCGCTGCTAACGCTTCAGGAGGGGAAAAAACACAGACACAAAGAAGCGTCGACTCCCAGGACATATTGAAAATACGGGAAGGCGGGGGGAAGACGAACACCCCCCAAATAGGGAAAAACATATGGAATCCTTTTTTATTTGTGTGTATCTATTTGTGTGTCCCTGGGCCCCTTGACTAACGTTGTCCCTCAGGACAGGGCAGACTGGTAAGCGCCGGGCGACAGCGCAGAAGAGCCGGGAGGTTTGACCCCACGAGGGCCGGGGGGCAGCACATCGCGCAGCGGCCCGGCCCATGAGGGCGCGAGGGGCGCCCGTATCCAGGACGGTCGCCCAGGAGCTGTCGCGTCGGAGGAAGGGCAGGGGGTGCTCGCGGAAAAGCAGTGGCATAAACATGATAACTCGGAGGTCCCGCGCTGGGTCGGCCCTTGGCGCGCTCCGCGCGCTAGGGAGAGGGGTGTCCAGCGCCGATCCGAGAAACCCTGACCCTGGACCTTCAATGACTTGGAAGCTCAATTCGGCCTCTTTCGCCGTTCACATCAGAACGCATGCTCTGGACGAAAAGCATGCCCTGGAGAAAGGGAGCAGACTTCCAGGCACACCGTAGAAGAAAACAAATCATCGGATCTCGCGGTGCGGCGGCCACGCATTGGAGAGGGAACAGACAGACGTCCGAGGGCAGGAAGAGTACACCAAGTCGATCGAGATGCTCAAGAAGCCGCGGCCTCAGTGCGATGCCGGCCCTTGAGATTCATGAGGCAGCCGACGGGAGAGAAGGAGGAGGTGCAGGCAAAGTGAGCGTTTCGTCCGATTCCTCTTCCCCGTCCCGGCGAGGGGTTGGGACCCGCGGGCACTGGACGGCGAGAGCGGAGTGGAGCTGAGAAGTTCAGTCGAGTTGTTGAGTAAGGAACCTTTTGCGTTGGGGAGGGTCTCAGCGTCCTTTAGTGGTTTTACAACTGTTCTGAGGTTTTCCCGAGGTCGTCTTTGCAAGATCGAGGCTCAATGTATGGGAAAATGGGGCCTCGTTCCTCATCCAGGGCTCCTCATGGCAGCGTTTCGACTGTGCCTCCGAGGGCTGCGTGCCCGGATGCGGTTCTCCTCGGTGGCCCGCGACGCTGGCCCTCCCCGCCGGGCCCCCACCCCGGCGGGGGCGTCGGCAGGGGAGCCCCCGCGAGCAGGCGGGGCGCTCGGGGGCTCCGGCCGTGCAGAGGCCACTCCTCGTGGCCTCGCGCCCGCCGGGGGAGCCCGTCTCGGGTATGGCCAGGACCCCGGGGGTAAGGGGACCCGGCCAGTGGTAGGGCCCCGGGGCCCCTCATCAAGGGCATCAAAAACGCCCCTACCCTGGTTTACGAGGCGCTGTGCGCTGAAACTCCTGTGGGCTGACAGGGTAAACCCTGCGTGATGTGCCGCGTCCTGGCGGCTCTAGGCCCTGGGGGCTCCCAGGAGGTTTACAGACCACGCACTTGTAACCCAGGGTAGGGTCGTTTTTTTCATCCCTCAACCTCAATTGGCCAGATTCACTAAACCAGGTTTGCCGTAACTGGTGTTTTTCGAGTGGCGGCAGTTCCGGTTGGTGGAAACGGGACGGGGGGGCGCCCCCCGTACAAATCACTAAACCAGGTTCCACCAAACCCAGTTCTGCCAATGCCCGAGCGTCTTTTGCAGGTGGAGCGGGGGGGGCCGACCGAGGGAAGGGGCGGAGTTTCGTGTCGTCGAGAAATAAAGAACCCTTGACACGAATACTACAACGAAGACGTGGCCTCACTTAGGTCCCCGTCTCTGCATCAGGGATGATGATTCTGGTCGGTTTGGTTCGACGCATCTGCAGAAAGACCGTTTGATTAGCCCTAATGTTTTTGGGTTCTCTTCGTTTAGGTCCCCTCCCAAGCCGATTAGGGGTCCTATTATTGCTAATCATCGTGGCCCCCGACCCATAGCAGTTGAACAAGTAGGTGACCAGAGACGAGTCGGTGCCCGGAGGCGTGCCCGGAGTCGTGACCGAAAACGTGGTGCGACCGAAAGTGCGACGGAAGTTGACGAGATCGTCTTGGCCTCGAGCCAAAGGTTTCGGTCGCACCAGGGCGCGGACGGAGAGTCTCGGGCGCAGGTCTCGGTCGCACGCGGGCCGCGGGTCGGGCACAGGTTCAGTCACGAAGCCCCCTTGACGGAGGCGAGGTTGCGAGCGCAGTGGGGAGCCGAGCTTCCTCGGGAGGCCGTGGTCGTGGGCCTGTGCGGGCCCCTGTGGTGCCCGAGTATCCAGTGGCCTTCGGCCTATCCCGCCAAGCTGCCCCAAGGAGGCCCCCATGGGTCCCAAAAGGAAATGCGAGAAGAAGCGCCGAGCCCAAGAAGATTTGAGAGCGAGGGGTCCGGGCGCCTCAAGGACTCCTCAGGAGTGAGGATTGAGGCTTAGAGGATTGGGCCCAGGACTTGAGGACACACACTCCGTGCCCAGCGGCACGGTGGCGGATTTCCGTCCTGTGGGGCCTCCAATACTCAAATCTCCCTGGGTTTTTTGCGCGGTTTCTTGCGTGACTGTTTCGGGCCCAAGAGGGTCCCAAGATGAGCCCAGAGGGTCCCAGGCACGGTTTTGTTAGGTATTGTTTGAGG